GGATGACATTGAATCCTCTGCCATCTTGGGTTGATTTGGTACTTGGGAGGAAAGTCTAGACCTCTAAGGAGGGCCTGAAGGCTACCCCTGTGCTACCCCAAACCCCATTTATATCTGGGGCACTCAGAAGTGAGGGGCAGGAGCCAGACACCCCCATAGTCTCACAGGGATGGGAAGGTCACATTGGATACCCCATCCCCAGAGGGCTGTGGGACTGTGCCCCCTGCCCCAAGGACTGTGGAACCCTTCCCAGGCTGGAATGTGTGCCATGGGGTCACCCTGATTCCCCTAATCTGCACATGTGGGTACACACACGCTCTGCAGCTACACACACTCTTGGCCCATTTGGGACAGCTGACTGCAGGGCCCAGAGCACAGAGTCCTAACTGTAATGCCCACCCCAAAGGACACCCCCCCTTGGCCATTGCACCATGAATGTACCCCATTTTTCTGACTGGCTGCTCTACCCCTGGGCCACCTGCTGCTATCCCCCCTTCCTGCTCAGTCCTATTTGCTTTTCTCCCTGCTGGGTCCCTCACCCTGGGCAGGGATGGGGGTGGGGGTGGAGAGGTGGGGGCACCCCTGAGTGCTTCCAGGGTTGGAGTGCAGGGGCCCATTGTCTCACCCCATCCCGGTTACCTCGATGTCCACAGGGCTGCCCCCTATCCTCATAATTGGCCTTGAAATTGGATGCCAAAGAGCCCAGAGTTGCGGGGAGCAAAGCTTAGAGTCCAGATCTCTCAGAGCTACCTGACCCCCCTTTTTGTCCACACCCAAGTCTGAGCCCTTGCCCCGTCCTATCCACCACTAAAAGCCCTGGGGGACCCCAAATGTGTCCCCACTTCCAGTGCTTCCCCCACACACCCCCAAAAAAATAAAACTCAGGGACCAACATCTGCTTCCTTTGCACTTGCTCTGTAACCCCTCCCCAGGCAGAAGGGCTTGGGGGCAGGGGTGGGCCCCAGGGCAACAGCGTTGGGCGAGGAGGGGGTCTGTGTTCCCTCCCCCCAGGGACAGGATGTCCTCTCCTGGCCCACATTGGGAAGGAGCGAGGGGGAAAGGGGTGTCGAGGGGACCCCCCCTCCCAGGGTCACTGTCCCGGCTGGCTTATTCCTGAGCCTGCCCCTGTCCATCCCAAGTCCTTTCCTGGGTGACCCCATTTTGTACTGCAATAACTGTATTATACGCTTGCACTACCCTGCCCCGGCCAGCCCGAGCATGCATGAGAAACTCAATACAGACAGGACGCTGATTTTTGTTTTCTCCCTCCTCTTTCTCTCCGGGGTGCGTCCTCCTTAGCGTACATAACAGCATTGGGGGGCCCCGGGCCGGTAGGAAAGCATGCATTGAGCCCCCCGCCCCTAGATGCGAGTACTGTACAAAAATCCAACACTTGAAACTGACACGCACACTCGCGGCGCCCACGGGGTGGGACATGGACACGCACCCACCACACACGGCCGCAGGGTGGGAAGGCGCCCGCCAGCAGCGGCGCTGTGCAAGGGATCTTGTGCCTTTTCAGTCCCTGTATGTTCCTGCAGACAATCCGGAGAGCTTGTGTACTACCAAATCCTGATTAAAGACGCCTTCCAGGAACCTATGCCTCCGCCTGCTTTCTTTCCCCCTCTTCCAGGTGGCCTGTGACCTGGGCTGGGGGTAGGGGCAGGGGCTAGGGTGGGTCCCCTTCCCAGTTGGACCTGAGTCACCCTTCCCTGCTGGCTGTTCCTTTCCAGACTCTGGTCTCTGGTCCTTGCTTTGCCAGGGAGGGCAGGGGAGGAGGTAGGGAGTCCGGGCTCTCTTGGAGTCAGGCTGTCAAGTTCAGCAGAAAGGCAGGACACAGAGATCTCTGCTGTGGAAGGCCTGGGATCACTGGCTGTTCCTGCCCATCTCTTGTCTGTGCAGGGGTTGCAGGGCCTGGGGACTGGAGTGACAGAGTCAGGTAGAAGGAACACCGAGGCCCTGGAAGGAGTGAGATGCTCAGATGGTCGCAGGGACTTGTAGATTGCAAAGGGGCTGTCCTTTTGAGTTCTCCACTCTGTCCTCAGCTGGCTTCGAAAGAAAGTACCTGCCATCCCCTCTGGGCCCAAAGCAACGTGGGGACAGGAGGGCCAGTTGTATTGTATAACCAGCGTGCGTGCACACACACACACACACACACACACACACACACACACACAGAGCCAGGATAGATTGAGTAGATTGAGACCCCAATCGGTCAGTGGAGCATGTGACATCTGTGTAGATCCACAACACGCAAGTGACCACATTCCTACCTTCTCTTCCCTGGCCAGGGTACCTGCAGGGCTGGGTGGCAGGCAAAGTGGAAGGAGGGCTCCCAGGGTGGCAGAAAAGTGCTGACAGGGAGCAAGTGTGGGCAAGGGGGACTCTGGGAAGGTGACAGTGGTGGTCCACATCTTCTCTCCCTGCAGCCTGGGGAGTGGGTATTGAGAGGTTGGGTAGCTCCCCAAGTCCTGCTCCCACCATGGGGGAGAGGAGGGGACTGAAGCCCCCCCAGGCCCCTTTCACATTGGGAGTTTGGGCTAGAGTGAGTTCGGGGTCTTGAACTGACCTGGTTGTCACTCTTCCTGATTTTCATGGAAACCAGGGTCAGTGCTTGACCCTCCAGGTCTCGTGTGCCCATGTGATTTTAGGACTGGGGAGACTCCAGTTGTCATTCCTCCTGTCTGATGTGGAGGAGCTGAGATGGAAGGCAAGTTCCTTCTGTGCTTGGCCAACATGGGAAACATGCGGGGGTCCCCCTCCTCTGGGTGGGGGCTTTCCAGAGAGACCCAGGGCCCAGACTGATGGCAGGGGAAAGGGTATTTCTAAGAGAAATGTCCTAGATGTCTGAAACAAAGAGTGATGTAGTGTCAGAGGACACCTGTGCTGGGCAGGCCAGGGAAGAAGATTGTGATCAGAGAGCTGCATCTGCCTGCCTGGCCCTGGCTTTCATTCCTGTCACCTCCCCTAAGGCCCCAGCTCAGCCAGGAGCTCACAGCAGCCGCCCCTGCTGCTGCTTGCTCTGGCCCTGGCATTGGTACCTGCACTTGGCAAAGGTGGCGGGCGCAGTTAGTTATTAATGTTTGCTAAATGAGTGAATGGGTGACTGAGAAGGAATGAATGGTGTGGGACAAGAAAACAGTTGTTGGGCCTTGTAGCCTGTGCGTGGTCGGTCTTGCACCTCTATCAGATTCTTGCAAAGATGGGTGATGGGGAAGGTGGTGGCAGCCAGGAGGGGGTGCTAGCCTCAGCAGGCACTTGGCTCTAGAGATTCCTGCCTCAGCCTCCTCTAGTCTCTGTGCTGTGACCTGAAGCCTCAGCCAGTGGCTGTGAACCCCTTTTCCAATTCCACCTCCATAGACCCCAGCTTTCTGAGGTGGAGAGGATGCAGTGATCCCCAAGGCAGGGTAAGCGGAGCTGGGGTAGCAGGTGGGGTGGCAGGGCGCTCTCCACAGACCCTTTGCTTATAATACCTCACATAGAGTCCAGGGCTGTGGGAGTGTGCCGTTGCCTTCCATTTCCTCCCTGGATGTAGAGATGACAGGCTCCCACAAGGGGGCTGTTCCTGCCTCGTTCAACACTGGCCCTCAGAACCTGGGCCCCTAGCAGGGGATGGCAGATGTTCAAGGGCCACTCAAATGCATGCATGCATGAATGAATGATTGGAAAAACCCTCCAGGAGCCTGTTACAGAAGCAAGAACTGGAGTGTAGGAAAACAGTAGAAAGAAAAAAGTCATGAAATTGACTTGGGAGGTGAACAGAAAGGTGGTAGGTCGATTGTAGGGGGAAGAATAGGAATTTATCAGGGAACAGAGAATGTGGTGGGGATCCCCAGGCAGAGCAGAGATGCTGAATGCACCTGATAGGTGCTGGCAGCCTCAGAATAGCTGGGACCCAGGGCAGAAGGTGGGAGCTGTGGCAGTGGGGCCTGTTATGGGCTGATCTGGCATGGGAGTCCCCTCCTGAGGACCCTGGGGACCCAGACTCAGGTCTGGGCTATAGGAATGTCACTGGGGCAGTGGTGAGAAGGACGGAGAAAGCAAGCTGGCAGCTGGGGATACCAGGCAGGACAAAGTTGTGCTGTCAGCCTGAGGGCATAGAGACAGAGATGGCAAAACAGGGCCGTGGCTGGGTGACGTGGTGTTAGAGCCGTCAGAACATCCTGGGGCTTCAGATCTTCGTGGGCTGTGTTTGCTAGTTCAGGAGGACAGAGACACAGTTGTCCAGCAAGGCTAAGAAGCAGTGGACATAGTGCCGTCAGCCCAAGCGACAAAGCCGGGTTGGTCTGCCTTGCCAGAGGCCCAGTGCATGGTGGGTGCTGAGCAATGTTTGGGGATTGGATAGCACAGAGCAGCCTAGGGACCAAGACAGTGATGGAGACACCTGTCCTGACAAGGTGGGCAGGCTTGGCTCGCTCAGAAGGAAGAGTGTGACAGGAGTCTAAAAAAACCCAAGAAGCATGAGATCTCAGGAAGAAAGTCTGCGTTCCAGTCCCCCTCGAGGGCCCCAGCCAGGGAAACAGGGAAGAGGGCTGGTATGCCAGGGGCCCAGGGGTAACTTTTGGGTGCCAGAAGATAACCCTAAATTCACCTGGGTACCACACAGTCCTGGTGGTCCCCCACAGCCAGCTGTCTGGCCACAGAGAGGTGAGCCCACCTCAGGAGGGACACAGACCTCGCTGCTCTACTCTGGGCTGGCTGTTCTCACATCTTTCTAGGGAAGGTTGGCCTAAACAGTGGCTGTGGTGCCTTCTGCCTTTCATTTGCTACTGATGCTCTGGGGTGCCACATGGGCATGGGGAGTGAGGCAGAACAAGGTCATAGACAGGGCAGGAGACAGGGTCAGGGCTGGGGACCTCAGGGGACCTGGAACGGGGACTTGGTCATTCTTCAGAGATTTACCAGGGACCATTCTAGGCTGGGGACAACAGTGTGTGAAGGCAACCATTTGGGCCTGGGAGGGGGTGACCTCAGCAGGTCCCTGTGTGTGCCCCCTGCAGGTGTTCTCGGTGGCGCCCCCATTCGAGGTGAACGGCCTCTCTCGAGCTGTGCCTCTGAGCCTGCCCTACCAGGACTTCAAGAGAGATCTCTCTGATTACCGGGAGTGCGCGCGGCTGCTGCACAGGGTCCGGAGGGTGGGCTTCTCGCACACGCTGCTCGCTGCTCCCCTGGGCCCACCGGCCGCTGTCCAGCCTCAGGCTAATGGGAATGAGGAAGAGGCGAAGGAGGAAGAAGAACAGGAGGAGGAGGAGGACGAGGAGGAAGAAGAGGAGGAAGAGGAGGAGGAAGAGGAGGACGAGGAAGAGGAGGGTGATGAGGAGGAGGAGGAAGAGGAGGAGGAGGAGGAAGCAGCGGCCTTGGGGGAGGTGCTGGGAGTGCACAGCGGCTCCAGCAGTGAGGACAGTGACAGGAGCACCGACCGAAGCCAGGAGGGCGCCCCGTCCACGCTGCTGGCTGATGATCAGAAGGAGTCCAGGGGACGGGCCTCCATGGCTGACGGTGACCTGGAGCCTGAGGAGGGCTCCAAAACGCTGGTGCTGGTCTCCCCTGGCGACATGAAGAAGTCGCCTGTTACTGCCGAATTGGCACCTGACCCTGACCTGGGCACCCTGGCTGCCCTCACACCTCAGCACGAGCGGCCCCAGCCTACTGGCAGCCAGCTGGATGTGTCAGAGCCAGGCACGCTGTCCTCTGTCCTCAAGTCTGAGCCCAAGCCCACCGGGCCTGGGGTAGGGCCCGGGGTTGGGGCAGTGACCACAGGGGCTGGAGGTGTGGCAGTCACCTCCTCGCCCTTTACCAAAGTTGAGAGGACCTTTGTGCACATTGCTGAGAAGTCTCACCTCAACATCATGTCTTCCGGAGGACAAGCCTCGAGGCCTGAGGAGCTGTGTCTAGAGGTGCCCTCAGATGGGGGCACCACAGGAGAGGGGGCCCGGGGGTTCCTGGAGAATGGCACAGCCCTACTGGGGCTGGAAGGGGCCAGGGTGGAGAGCTGTGCCCTGGCCAGGGTCCCTGGGGATACCCCTTTGGAGGTGGCTACAGACTCACTGCCCAACGGCCCAGTCTTGGCCGATGGGCCAGCCCCAGAGTCCCTGGAGCCAGGCCCTGACAAAGTAGTCACTGTCTCCCCAAGCTGCCACCCCAGGCCAGGTCCTCGGCCCCGGAGTCGCATCCCTGTTCTGTTGTCAGAGGAGGACACAGGCTCAGAGCCCTCGGGCTCTCTATCAGCCAAAGAGCGCTGGAGTAAGAGGGCCCGGCCGCAGCAGGACCTGGCTCGGCTGGTGATGGAAAAGAGGCAGGGTCGCCTGCTCCTGCGGCTGGCCTCGGGTGCCTCGTCATCCTCTAGCGAGGAGCAGCGTCGGGCCTCGGAGACGCTCTCAGGCACAGGCTCAGAGGAAGACACACCAGCCTCTGAGCCTGCCGCCACCGCCTTGCCAAGGAAGGCTGGGCAGGCAGCTGTCACCCGCAGCCGGATTCCTCGCCCCATCAGTACCCTCGTGCCCACGCCCACCACTACCCAGCAGCTTCCAGGCGGACCCCTTGGCACAGCCCCTGCACCTGACACCACCGTCACCAGCAGGTGAGAAGCCCTTCCAGCTCCAGGGTGGGCAGAGGGTGACTGCAAAAGGCCTCTCCAAGTGGGGACTCCCAGAGCCAGGCTCAGGGCCTGGGACAATTTGGGAGGGACCCTTGGCCATCCTCCCATCTGCCACTTGCCAGCTGCTATTGACTTAAGTGTAGCCCTGTCTCTGGGTCCAGGGCAACCTGGCAGAAAAGGTTCCAGGGAGGCCAGGATTGGGAAAGGTTGATGGGTTATCAGTAGGGTTCACAGTATCCAGGGTGATGTGGGGCGCTTGAAGCGAAAGGATAAAACCCAGAGCTTGCATGAATAGGAAAGCACATTATTTCATATTCATCCAACCAGTGCGGCTGGGGGGTTGCTCAGGGGTTCAGCACTTGCCTAGCATGTGGTGGGGTCTGAGTGCCATCACTAGCACAGAGAAATGACACCACACACACACACACACACACACACACACACACACGTATGCACATGCACCCCCCATGCACATTATAGATTCCAGTGCAAGATCTATGAGGATTTTAAAGATAAAACAGGGTCCCCCAAGATAGCTCTTTGGGCTGCAGCCTGGATGTGCCTGGCATTTAAGGTCACACCTTGGAAGGCCAGGCCTCAGTTTACCCACTCCAGCTCTGAGGATGCATGACTGAGGGACTCAGAAGTATTCTGACACTGTTTCTCCTTTTTTGTTTCTCGACCCTCTTTTCTCTTGCCTGTTCCTTCTCTGCCTCTCAAGCAGGCTCCAGCTGCAGAAGTCCCCTGGATTGGCCACTGTTGCTGACCCCCGCCCCAGGCAGCCCCCCAGCCGCAGTGCTGGCCCAGGGAAAACTCCAACCACCAGGGCCCCTGCACCCCGCAGCCCTGGGCTCCCCGCCTCCACCGCACGCCACCCCAGCGTGTCCCCCCGGAGCCAGTCCCTGTCCCGCAAAGAAAGCTCATCCCCCTCCCACCAGGCCCGGCCTGGGATGCCCCCAACTCGGAGTGTCCTTCAGGTCCGAGCACAACCTGAGAGTGGTACCCCCTCTCCAGGAGGCCCCAAGAAAGGACCCAGAGGGAAACTCCAGACTCAGCGTGCAGCAACCAAAGGCCGGGCGGGGGTTTCGGAGGGCCAGGCAGGGACCAGATAATGATGCTCGCGGCTCTCTGTGGCCCCCCCACCCTTGTCTGGTCCCCTACCTGCAACCGGCCACCCTGGAACGCACCCCGCACAGCCTTATGCGCCCCATGCGCGCACATGCCTGCATCCACCAGGACCGTGCGGGAGGGCCGAGCAGGGCCCTGTCCTGCCTCTCTTCACACCTCCCTGACCTGGCTCCTCTGCCCCCTGGAAGGCTCAGCCAGTTTTCTCCAGAACTCCACTTTTGAGGACACCCTGTGCACACCCTTCAGACCTTGGCAGCTCTCTGCCCCCAGGGCCCCCTGCTTACGTCTCCTGCGGCGCCTTGCCCTCCTCCCCACTCCCCTTCCCAACACTACCCCCCTTTCAGAGAAACAGCCTCAAGTTCCGGCCTCTCCTTGATTTCCTGGGAGCCTTGGTACCCAGGACGATCTCTCAGCTGCCAGGCTGAGGTCGGCAAGGTGGAACCCAGAGGTCACCAGCCTACTCAGGTGTGAAGGGACAGCTCCCACCTGCCCAAGTCAGCTCCATCCTGGTCACTGGTGGGAGCTAGCTAGTAGGCAGGTGATCTGGAGGCGGGGGACTCTCTCGACTCCTAAGTTTGGGTGGGACCTCTGTGGTCACTGTGGGAGGAGTGTGGACTGCCTTCCTGGGCAAGTGATTCCCCTGTGAGGAGTTTTCAAAAGGTTCCATTCACTCCCAGCCCCTGGTCCAGCATTCAGGAGCCCTGCAATCAGGAATATCTTCCTGCTGTCTAACCTCAGTCCAATCTGCAGGGTTTTGGCCAACTCCCCTCTCCCCGAGGTTCTGCGCAGGTGGAGGGAGGCTGGCTATGATCAACTCCCCTGTCTGGGACTCAGTTTGGCTGGGTCACCCTTCATATCCTCCAGCTATGGGAGCAGGAGGAACAGAAACAGTAGCCCGTTGGCCCCTGGAAGCAGAAAGGCCTTTCCAAATTCCAGACTGCGTTTGTGTGATGGGTCCCCAGCCCATGCCATTCACTCCCTAGCTTCCCTGAAGCCTGGCCCTCATTGCCCTGGGGGACCTGGGGTCTCTTCCTGGGTCCGGGGTCCTGCAGAGCTCACCCCACCTCGTCCTGAGCCTTGACTGCCAACATCTAGGGAAAGCAGCATGCTGGCTAACAAAGACCACTGCCCCAGCCTGGTCTGTGCCCCACCTGGAGCCACAGAGGATAGGCCAAGGCTTCTCGGGGAAGAGGAAGAGAGGCCTCTGTGCCCAGCCATCTGGCCACTTCCGTCACCAACACCAAGAAGGATGTCCTTGAGGAAGCCAGTCCGGGAGCAGCCTGGTGGTGCCCGCCCAACTCCCTCACGGGCTCAGCAGGCCTGGGCGGCTACTTCCACGTCAAGCAAGTGGTCTCTGTGCAGAACAGCCCATGGGAGGGCTGCAGGGTGGATGACTTTCAAAGTCCACCCCCCGTGGATGCAGGAGCTCCCAGAACACTCAGGAAACCTCTTCGGACCCAGCCCTCCTGTCCACTGAGCCCCCAAGCCCTGTGCTGCCCTCTGGGCTCAGCAGAAAGGGAGCAGGGGCCACACCCTCCCACCCAGAGCTTCTCTGAATGACAATCAGCTCGCTTGTGCCCAGTGGGGACCAGGGCCTAACCCCTGGTGCCTGGCCTTGGGCCTGCTCCTTGCCACCAACCGAACCGTGAATGTAGGGCCCCAGCCTCGCCTCTGCCCGAGGACCAGCAACACGCTGCTTTGGAGTTGGGAAGAAGGGCTTCACCTGCTGTGGGGCTGGCAGAGACACAAACCCCAGTCTGCCCTGGGGATTCCAGACCTCTTGGGGCTCCCAGTTGACCTCAGGCTTCTGAGTGTCAAGTGTCACCAGGTGAGGGGGACAGGGAAGAGGGCCAGTGGAGGGGCAGCCAGGGCCTGGGTCTGCTCTCCCAGGAGGGACCCAGGGCAGAGGAAGCCACATTTCTTAGCCTGCCCAGCTACAGCCTCTTTTTCCTTGAGTCTCCAGGTCCTGAGTGCCCTTCTGAGTGTCCCCAACATCCGCCCCCCCAGCACTCGCCCACCATGGCCCTCCATGTCACTGGCTCAGATGCAGGGTGTGCTTACCCTAGAACACACTTCCCCTCCCCAGCTGCATCACGTGCAAAGGGAGTACCTGGCACAGGGCTCCCCCTTCCCAGCCCCTCATAGGGGCCTGGCTTGCTCAGTCTCCTCAGCTTGGGGACCAGCCCCATGGGCATGGGGTGGGGGGATGGGAATCACCCTCCCCCTCTCCCCTGGAAAGCCACTGAAGAATGTTTACACGCCAAACAGAATGTAACCCCTGGCCCTCCCAGTCATTGCATGGCCTCTGCCCACCCTGCGCCTGCCTCCCCCCAGCACCCTGGAAGCCGCTGTCATGATTAGATCGATCTCGGAAGGGAAGTAGCCATCACACCATTAAAAAGCCTGTGGACCTTTCTCACTATTGGCCTGGACTCTTCTTCCCTGGGGAAGGGGGTGGGGCAAAGCCCAACCCCAGGGATGGGCATGTAGAGGGCAAAGGGGCAGGGACAACCTGGAACCGGGAGCATTGTCCCAGGACCCATGCAGGTAACTTTCTCATCGTCACACAGGCCAAAGGACACTGTCCTGCTGTCCACCTGGCAGCGAAGCGCCTACTCGCTCAGCCTCCTGGTTATTTCCGCTGAGGGAAGAGGGAAGGATGAACTCGCATCAGCCTGCACGTCCTGTGGACTCACACGTGCATGGGCAAAGTCACACGCAAGCACGGCGTCTCTCACAGCCCTTTCTGCTCCACTGCCCAAAGCTGCACGTGCAAACCTGAAGCCAAAACCCCCTGAAGCAGGGAGATTCCTTGTCAGAATGGTACAAGGTCATTTGATGTCAAACTTGAGAAGGCCATTTATAATCTTTATTAATTCCACTTATTATAGATATTTTCAGTGGAAATATTAATGTCTTTGATTATGGGGTGCTACTGTATCCTTTTAGGGTATTTCTTAATATATGGAAATATGCGCTGAATTATCTTTCTTCTCTTTTTTTCTTTGGATCTCTCTGTCTCTCCCTCCCCTCCCCTGTCTCTCTCACCTGATCATTTGGGTAAGAGACAGAAGAGTCGGGGAAGCGACCTGCCTGTCCATTACTTGGGGTGACCAGAGGGGGCAATGGCCTTCCACACAGTGGAGACCCCACAGTGGGCCACTGCCAGGTGGCGCTCTCAGTACTCATTTACAGGCGGTGCTGAGGCCAGCTGGGGCAGGCTGACCTGAAGGAAGGGTGGGCACCATGGGGGCCGGGTACCATGGGGGCCAGGAGTTGGGCAGAAGGGAAAAAGTGTGTGTTGCACCTTTGCTGCTTTTTTTTTTTTTTTAATCTTTTTGAGACCGGGTCTTCCTATGCAGTTTAGGTTGGGCTTGAGCTCACTTTATAGCCCAGCCTACTCTCGAACTCAAAGCGATTCTCCTTCCTCAGCCTCCCAAGTGCTGCGATTACAGGTGTGTGCCTCCGCGCCCAGCAACCGTTTGCCTTTTTCACCGAAGTTCACTGAACAAAGGCTTTAGCTAGTGACCACACACACAATTTTGCCTTCCTTCTTGTTTAAAATAGCAAAAGCAGGACCTGTGACCAATGCTGAAAGCATATGCAAAAGGACAAGTCTCTTGTCTACAAATGGAACCTTCTAGCGGGAGCCCTTGCAGATGGTGGGGGGCAGTGCAGACCTCCTTTTCTGTGTTTATAACAATAGCCATCTCTCTCTGTCTGCTACATATATTACATATACGTGTATTTCTTCCGAATAAAAAGAGAAGGACAGCTGGGCATAGCGGTGCATATCTCAATACCAGGATTTGGGAAGGCTGGGGCAGAATTGCAGCCTGCAACGCAGCAACTTAGCAAGAATCTGTCTCCACTTTAAGAAGGGGCTGGCGATGTAGCACTGTGGCAAGGTCTGGGTTCAATCCCCAGTAATAAAAAAGGGAGTGGGGATATTGTTCTACTGTTATGAAATGTGATTCTTATGCTCAATGATATATTCTAGACATAGTCTTGTTAGGTAGTTCAGGCTAGCCTTGAACTCACTATGTAGCCCAGGCTGGCCTCGAACTAATGGTGATCCTCCTGTCTTAGCCTCCTGAGTGCTGAGTTTGTAGGCATGTACCACCATGCCCAGCTAGTTGTTCGTTTGTTTGTTTTTTAAGACAGAGTCTTAACTATGTAATTCAGGTTGGCCTTGAATTTACTCTGTGGCCCAGGCTGGCTCTATCCTCATCTTTTCAAAGTGTCCTCAACACAATTTCTTGAGACACAATTTGCATACCACACAATCCACCAATTTCAAATGCACACCCCTGGCCGTGAGTATATTCAGTCATGCAGGCATTACTGCGACGAGTGTCGGAACATTTCCATCACCCCGCAAAGAAACGCCCCACCCTTCGCAGTCACTTGCGTTTCCCCAACCCCTACCAGCCCCGGCAGTCATTAATCTACTTTCTACCTCTAGGTCTATTTGGGATGTTTCATATAAAGGCATTCCTATAATGTGATCTTTCTGTGAGAACTCCCTTTTTGAGGAACCTGTATATTGTAGCACTTCTTATGTCAAATCTTTCTTATTGTCAAGTAATATTCTTTCATATGTACATACTAAGTGATGGATGTTCATCCACAAGAGACAGTGAGGATCCTTGTTTTTTTTTTTTGAGGATCCTTTTTTTAAAAAAAAAATCTATTTGTTTATTTACTTGGTACAGGGTCTTGCTTGCAGCTCAGATACATAGTGATCCTCTTGTCTCAGCCTCCCCAGTGCTGGAATTACAGGAGTACACCACCATACCTGGTTTCAGGCCAGCACAGCGCACCTGGGGTTCCGGGGCCGGCACGGCATGTGGTACCAGGGATTGAACCCAGGTCTTTGCACTTGCCAGGTAGGCGCTTAGATTTCCAAACTATGTCCCAAGCCTGGATCCTTGTTTTTAAGAGCCACATAATATTCCACCGCATAAATATTTCATGACCTATTTAACCAGTTCTGTGTTGATATTTTATTAGCCTCTTTCACTAATTCAAACATTGGCAAAATGAACCTCTTGGCTCTGACATTCACTTACTTTTGCAAGTCTAAATTTAGCAGAAATACCCAGAATAATTAAATAGATAAAACTAGTATTTTATTCCTTAAAAATTTGTTTTAATACTGAGATTAAATGAATGAAAGAAAGAATGCTATGGATTATTCATTATTTAGTGTTCAATTAGTAAGTCCTTCACACAGCCCATCAGCTAACTCTGCAGGCTCGCTCTGAGCAGCAGTACTGCTAGAGGCTTTGGCAGACCCCAAGCCTGTGCAGGCCTGGGGACAGCACCTCATGCACTCAAGCACCCAAGTGGAGATCCGCATTCACTCCCCCTCAGTGTGCGTTCTCGTGGCCAGGCTGGGCAGGTCGAGAAAGATCCCGGCGGATGCGCTCCAGAGTTCAAGGAGAAAGCAGAGCTGTACAACTTGAGAGGAAAGGACATCCCTAGGAAAGGGCACAGACAGCAAAGTTCAGCGGTGTGAGGTGTGTGTGCGGGTCATGGGGTGAATCAGGAGGGAAAGAGAGTTTGAGGGGAAGCAGGGCCAGGTTGGCAGGGACCCCTGCCTGTCCTCTCCTCTCAGAGCCTGAGCTCCACTGGGCAGTCACCCCCCAAAGCACTGCTATTGTCAGGGACTACCTGATGACCTATGGCTGTGAGGACCTGGGCAGCCCCACACGCTGTCTCCCCATTATCCCCCCAAACACACTTCTCCTCTGCCCTGTGGCCACAGCTGAGTCTGAATTCTAGGGCCCAGAGAATCAGTGGGTTGGGCAAGGCTGATCAGTCTGGATGGGGGTGGTCAGAACCAGGGATAAGGGGAGGAGATTTTTTTTACTGGAGAGGACCCCTGGGGGAAGAAGACTCGGGTGGGGATGGGGTGGGGCGCTGTTTCTACCAGCAGACACTGGGGCCCGCTGACATTACCCTTGTGGCTACCTACTCAGGAGTCAAGGCCAAGGTGAGGGTTGAGGTGGGGGTCGGACGTCCTTCCTGGCATTGTGCAAGGTGATGGGGCAGAGTCTACATGACTCTAGGAAGCTGGCCTTGAGTAAGAATACAAAAAAGCAAGGGGCTGGAGAGATGGCTCAGTGGTCTAAGGCACCTACTTAGAACAAGCTTGGCAAAGCATCAGGGACCGCGGTTCAATCCCCCAGCACCACATGCCAGCCAGCCCCGCCCCCTGGTGGGCTGAGCTGGCCACACACACACACTACTGTCTCTCTCTCTCTCTCTCAAATAAATAAAAAAAAAAAATTAAAAAAAAAATTAAAAAAAAAAAGAATACAAAAAAGCCTGTTTCCTGCAGCTCCCAGACTGTCTTCTATGTGCCTCTAACATTGTTAAACCCACAATGTGTCACCCCACCAGTCACCACCACCACTGATTCCTCCACCCCATCCTGCCCCGTCTCTACCACTCACCTCCATCTCTATCACTGCCATTACCAGCATGGTCATCACCTGAATCACAGTCATCTTTTAAGCCATCACTGTCATCAACACCAGTCTCTGTGACAGTGATAAATAAGAAATGAGGGCCTCGCTCTCAGAGAACCATGTATCGTTACTGTCATACCACCACCACCACCACATCACCACTGTTACTGCCACATAACCACATTCCACACCACTAGCATCACCATCATCACCCAACTCACATCTCCCACCACCACATCTCACATCACCATTATTGCAGTTACCACCACCACCACCATCAGAGTAGGAAGTGGTTCCATCACTAAGGGCCTTTGAAGCCCCAGCTAAGATGGGGCTGAGAGTGTAGGAAGTCGCATTACAAGCAATCTCAATAGAAAAATGTTTACCCAAACGACTTATTCTCCCCTCAAAAGCCTTGCAGGATTATTGGCTATGTCTGGTATCAGAGCAAGGGAGAAAGCCTAATTGTATAAACTAAGCCAGTAGCCAAAGCCAGCTCTCTAGTTTGGCCTCACTAAGGGTTATAGTATTTTATATAATTTATATAAAGAATGTGATTCTATAGACCCAAATGAAGGAGGGAGCAATCGCATGTGTGGGTGAGAGTGGGAGGGACAGTAGGAGCCCCCTCAAGCTGACCTTCAGAGGGGACAGGTATCCACCAGATGGATGAGGAACCCTGTGTGAGCCGAGGGACCACCCTGAGGTACAAGCTGCCAAGGGGCCTTGTCCTTCAAACCCCTTGAGTAAGAATACAAAGAGGGGAGAATACAAAGAATACAAAGTTGGGGAGAGGTCAGGGCAGCTGGGGTGCAGAACTGGCCTTGGCGGTCCTTACTTGCCATGAGCATCCTCAGGGCAGGGGCAAGTCTGAGGCTCCTCCGTACTCTACAGGCTATGCTAGAAAAGCTCTTACCTTTGTCACCTCCTGTCACCACCGTCAGCTTTCTCTTGGCCTCACTCCACATCTGTCTAGCTACCCTCCACACCCTGACCCTGAGCTCACTCCTTTCCTACAGCTTCCTTTGGGACCCCATCCCAGATCAAAGGTGAGAGCCTGTGGCTGGAACTAAGGGTCCTGTCCTCCTGTCACCTCAGCTGTTCAGTCAGTTCTTGGGTGACCCAGCAGGGCTCTGCCCTCCTTTTGGCACTTTACCTGTTCAAAGCAGAACTAGATTAAATGAGTGGTTTTCAACCTTTTTTCCCTTTCCTTCTTGGCATGTCTTTTCCCAAGAACACCTTTGGGAGTTCACTTGTTTAGAAATCTGGAGCTTCTTGAAACCCACTGTGAGAGCCACCCCATTCTGCTGGCCTGGTGTGTGCAGACTCCAGCAACAACAAATCTGCTTTCCCTATGGATCAGGAATGGGAGCTGAGTGGGAGTGGGAGGCTGGGCAATCCTGGCTTTCAGGCACTGTGGGACTCCGGAAGGACCTCTTCCCTTGGCACCTGAGACCCCCTGGCAACAGCAGTGGGACACAGGAGGGCTCCTGGGGCAGCAGGACTGGGAGGAGTTGGGAGCACCTTACCTGGGAATGAGCTAGGGCTACAGGAGGCATCAAGGCTCAATGGAAAAACCTTTCACCCAGCAAAGGCCAGGCCACTAGGCTGGCGTGCTGGGCTACCAGCCAGACTCACTATGGATGAAAATAGACAATGGTGACCTAAAGCTTCACAGGACAAAGGGCATCCAGACAGGGACTGTTCTGCTAAGGGTCCCTTGGAGCTCTGCACACCCAGATACCCTACTGTAGTGGCTCAGGGGACCCTCCTAGGTTCTTCCTGCCACAGAGCAGCAGCCTCTGGATGGACGACAGCCCCTCCCCTCAGGCAGCAGGCCAGAGTGTCAGGGTCCCTGCAGGCAAGATGGCCAGGAAGGCCCAGGCCTAGGCCAATGCCCAGGGCCTGGATTCTGGTTTCAGTCTCCGCTCATCGGCCTGTTGGCGCCCATCCCAGAGTTCAAGGGTCTGTGTGGTGAGCAGGCTGGGCCACGTCGGGTACTACAGGGGGACAGCTTGATTAGACAGCATGGGCTTTGAGGAGCTGCTGGACCAGGTGGGTGGCTTTGGGCCCTTCCAACTGTGGACTCTGGCGCTCACCGCCCTGCCGCGGATACTGCTGCCCCTGCATTTCTTCCTGCCCGTCTTCCTAGCTGCTGTGCCCTCCCACCACTGTGCCCTGCCTGACACCCCGGCCAACATCAGCCACCAGGACCTGTGGCTGGAGGCCCACCTGCCCCGGGAGCAAGATGGCACATTTAGCTCCTGCTTCTACTTTGCCCACCCCCGGGCTCTCCTCAACTCCACACTGTGGAGAGAGGTGCAGAGCCCCGGGGAGCTGGAGGCTGGAGCCTCCACGGTTCCCTGTTCACAGGGCTGGGAGTATGACAACTCAGAGCTCTCCTCCACCATTGCTACAGAGGTACCAGAGCCCAGAGGGCGAGGGACATGTGAGTGGGACTGGCCAGCCAGAGCCTTGGGTGGTTGTCATGGACATTAGGGTCCTGTCTTTACCTCCTTGAGCCTCAGCTGGCCCATCTGTGGAAAAGACTCATGAGCATGAAGCAGAGTATTAAGGAGTGAGGGCTGCTCTGGTCATGCCCGTAGAGGTGATTAAGAGGAGAGGGCTATAGCAGCTCCTGAGGGAAGGTGGAGACGAGAGCTGAGAAGGGTGTGTCCACAGTCTCCTGCCTCCCTTCCCTTTTCTGGCCCAAGGGTGGAACTTACATAGTTTATCTGGGTTTTGTTCTTTATTTTTACAACACTGGGGAGGGAACCCAGGGTCTTGTGCGCACTAGGTGAGTGCTCCGCCACAGAGCTGCCCTGACTCCTGCGTACCCACCTAGGGGAGGCGAGAGGACTCCTGTACTGTGGTCCGGGCAGGGAAGGGAACTGAGCTGCAGGGCTGGGGAGGGGCAAAGTCTCCCTCTTGTGATGCTGGGGTGAACAGTTGAGGGGGATCATTTCCCAGCATCGAGGTAGCTGGAAGGCCTGGTTGTTCTCAGAAGGCCCCAGGGTCTGGAGAGGAGGGGCTGGTGTCAGCTGGAGAGGGGCTTCTACCCACAGGAGACCCCACCTGCCTACCCTTGCAGTGGGACCTGGTATGTGAGCACAGAGGCCTGAACAAGCTGACATCCACCTTATTCTTCGTTGGTGTGCTGGTGGGGGCAGTGATCTTTGGATATCTGTCTGACAGGTGGATTGAGGCCTGGGGTGAAATATAGGTGCAGGAGGGGGCGGGGGCCTTGCTTTCTTTAGTGGGGGATGGGATGGGCCTTCTGTGCCTTGGCATCTCTAAGGGGTGCCGATACTGCATAACCCCACACAGGTTTGGGAGGCGGCGGCTGCTGCTGGTGGCCTATGTGAGTTCCCTGGCGCTGGGCCTGGCATCTGTGGCCTCGGTCAGTTATGTCATGTTCACCATCACCCGCACGCTCACTGGCATGGCCTTGGCTGGCTTCACTGTCATCGTGCTGCCGCTGGGTGAGGCAGATGGGGGAACAGACAAGTCCCCGAGGGCTGGAGCAAGCAAGGGCAGTGCGAGAGCCCACTGGGCCCGCTAACTTTTTCCCTGCCCCTGTCGGGCCTAGAGCTAGAGTGGCTGGATATGGAGCACCGCACAGTGGCCGGTGTTCTGAGCTCCATGTTCTGGTCGGGAGGCGTCATGTTGCTGGCATTGATTGGGTACCTGATACGGGACTGGCGATGGCTTCTGCTGACTGTCACCCTGCCCTTTGTCCTGGGCATCATCAGCATGTGGTGAGGAATGCAGGAAGCTGGGAATCGTGGGATGCAGGAAGCCAAAGAGAGATGAAGATTGGGAGACAGAGACACTGAGGGGCAAAGGGAAAGAAACAGATCCAGGGACTAAGAGATGGGGAGAGCCACTGAAAGAGCCACAGAAGCAGAACAAGACCTAGGCAGAGCTGGAACCAATTAGACAGCAGGAGAGACCAAAACTGAAAGGTAGATTCAAAGAGACAGAGGGAGAGACAGGAAGGGCAGGAGAGACAGAGATAAAGGCAGTGCTGAGGGGAAGCCCAGGCTGGCCTTGGAGGAGTGGGTCCAGCAGGGCCAGCCTCAGGGGCGCCTGGTAGCAAAGCTGGGGGCCAGACAAGGTGGCCTCCCCATGCCTCCCAAGATGGCCCGGGTCTGGCTGGTCTTCCTGAGTGTCAGTATATCTGTTGCTCTTATGCCCTAGGGGAGAAGTGTTTGGCCAGTACTGGGAGCTACAGTTTTGGGAGTAAGACAACTCAGCTGGGTAAAAAGGGACCCCCCAGGCTGATGGGGGTCCAGGCCTAAGCAAGGAAGTGTGGGAACAGGTAGCTTTTACAGCAGGCCTTAGGAAAAGACTAGGAGCACATGAAGCATGGGAAGAGATGACCTGTTTGAGGGTTATGTGTGAGGGAAAGCCTAGGGCAGTGGTGGCCAACCTATGGCACACATGTTTTTCTTTTAAGACAAAAGATGTTAATATATGGCTTACTTCTTCTAAACTAAAACCGCAGTACTCAGGTTTAATAGCAGTGTTGGTTTTTGCAATAAGCGGGTTTTGAGTTGCAGTTTAGGCACTCGTCTCTAAAAGGTTCACCATCACTGGCCTAGGAGTTGATGGCCTGTGATGGGCCAGGAGGGAGATTTGGTTAATGGTGCTGAGTCTCTGACTGATGGGTCTCCTGCCATCCTCTAGGTGGATACCTGAGTCTGCACGTTGGCTTCTAACACAGGGCCGAGTGCAGGAGGCCCAGAGCTACTTGCTCCGCTGTGCCAGGATCAATGGGCGCCCTGTGGGCAAGGATAGCCTGAGCATGGAGGTGAGGATGTGTGTGAATGTGTGTGTGGGGGGCATGTCCTGTGCCCCTCCCAAGGGGCCCCATAGGTGGAGGTGAGGTACACACCTCAAAACTTCCTGTGCCCCTTCAGCCCCACTTTTGCTGAGGGGAGGCAGAGACCCACAGAGATGGAGCAGGAACCCCGTGAGCCTGCTGAGACCAACTTTGACCCACATCCCCTCCTCCTCTGCAGACACTAAGCAAAGTGGCAGCCACAGAACAGGTGGGCCGGAGACCCTCATACCTGGACCTGTTCCGCACCCCTCGGCTGCGACACATCTCACTGTGCTGCATGGTGATGTGGTAAGGCAGGAGCCATGGGGAGTGGGGACAGGAGCGGTTACCGGCTGGGGAAGAAGAAGATGGAGCTGGCAGCAGAGGAGTTCAAAATTCAGGTTCTGCGCTTCCTCACTGCATGGCCCTGGACAGTCCCTCCCATCACTGTGAAATGGACCAGTGTGAAGAGGGGACATGGTCTTCTGGCCCTGGCACATTCTAGGCTCAGTGGGCTCCTGGGTGGCGGGAAGGTCCAGGTAGCAGAGGGCGGGTCCTCCCTCTAAAAGCCCAAAGTTCCTGGGCAGAGAGGACAAAGGGTGGGAAAGGACTCTGAGCGGGGCTACTGCTCCTTCCAGGTTCGGGATGAACTTCTCTTACTATGGCCTCACTCTGGACCTGTCGGGGCTCGGGCTGACCATGTACCAAACGCAGCTCCTTTTCGCCGTGGTGGAGCTGCCCGCCAAGCTGCTGGTCTACGTGATGGTGCGCCACCTGGGGCGCCGGCCCACGGAGGTGGGCATGCTGGTGGGCACCGCGCTGACCTTCGGCGTGCAACTGCTGGTGCCTTCGGGTGAGCCCTGCCCACACCGGCCCCGCCTCCCAGAAAACAGCTCCCCCACCAGGGCCCAGCCCAAAATGGTCCGGCTCTCTAAGAAAAAGCACTACGCCCATAGGGCCAAGCCAATCCAGGATCCTGTCCACCCGGCCTCCTGCAGACACCCGCCCATCAAGGGCTCCGCCCCGCCCTCCAGGCCCAGCCTCTTGTGAGCGAGCCCCGCCCATCCTTGGGTCCGTCCTTAGCAGAGACTCCGCCCCCTCCTGGGAGCTCTCTATCCTTCTCCCTGTTTTGCCGGAAACCCTTTTCCTTCAGAAACGAAATCCTGGCGCACCGCCCTGGCTGTGATAGGAAAAGCTTTTTCTACAGCCTCCTACACCACCGCCTACCTGTTCACTACAGAGCTGTACCCCACTGTGCTCAGGTGAGGCGGCCAGAGAGCAGGTTTCTGGGCCAATGACATGGGCTGAAGTTTGTTAGTCCCTCCCTATTCTTTACACCACACCCACAACACAGCGCTAATCCGGGCTGCGTTGACCCAAATCTCGGAGTCTGTGGGGCATTTCATCTTCTGTACCATGTGGCCCTAAACCAAGTCAGATAACCTCCCTGGACCTGCTTTGGAAGTCCCAGGAAACCCCATCCTGCCTCTTCTGTCCGTTTGATCGCTGCCCGGGCAGCTGCCTGGGGGACGGTCTGGACCTCGGGCCAGGGCCCCTTAGTTGGTTGGCAGCTGGGGGTGCAGAGCTTCTGGTTTCGGAACAGAAGAGTTTCTTGGGCTTCTCTGACATGGCCGGGTGTGGGCAAGCTGCTCCTTCCCATCCTGTCTGTAGCTTTTCTTCTCACTCAGTAGCACCTGATTGGCACTCAGGTGACACTGGCTTGGAGACCCCTGGCCTGGCTGTGTGTGTGTGGGCAGACCTGACAGCAGAGAGCTGGTGAAGCAGGCATGGCCAGGAGGAGGAGGAGGGTGAGAAACAGCTGCCTCCTTGCTCCTCTCTGAACAGGCAGACAGGGTTAGGGCTGACCTCGCTGGTGGGCCGGCTGGGCAGCTCCCTGGCTCCCCTGGCAGCCTTGATGGACGGAGTGTGGCTGTCGCTGCCCAACATTGCCTATGGAGGGCTCACCCTACTGGCTGCCAGCACTGCCCTCCTGCTGCCAGAGACGAAGCAGGCACAGCTCCCAGAGACTATCCAGGATGTGGAGAAGAGGAGGTGTGTGCACAGGGCTGGCAGTGTGTGTGTGTGGTGTGTGTGTGCATATATGCGGGGGTGCAGGTGCTTGGCAAGCTGCTGAGGTGTACCTTGGGCAAGTGTATATGTACAGGCATGTGCAGGCCCTGAGACATGGGAAATGTGAGTTGGTACACATGTACACACACAGATCCCTGAGGCTGCTCAGGAGAGGGCTGTGTGTGTGCTGTGCCATACTTGCACATCTACAGGGTTGTGTTGTGCATCATTGTGGGAGTTCAGTGTGTGTGCACCAGGAGCTGTGGCGAGGGTTGGGCAACAGGCTCTAACCTTGTATTGCTCTTCCTCCAACCTCTCAGTGCCTTGCGCAGTGTTCACGAGGAAGAGATGCGGAACTGAGCGGAGTTGAGCACAGCCCTCCACAGGCAGCTCTGCGCCGAGTGCCGAGTGCAAAAGGGCAGGCACCTGCAACTCAGACTGGGGGTGCTGAACCCCTCTGCCTCTGGCTGGATTTGCCATGGGAGCCTCTGTTCCTGCTTGCCCAGCCATAGCTATTCAGCTGCCAGTAACAGGACCACTTCCCAGGAAACAGTGATTTATGGGAGGATCCTGGGCATCCCTCTCGGGGCTGGGGGGATTCTGTGAATAAAGGTGCCTCTTAGGTGGGGGCAGCAGTAAGAAGCTTTGGGAACAGCCTTGGATAGGAAGCCATTGAATTGGCTTTGGGCTCTGATCTCAGCTTTGCCACCAACTTCCTGTGTGACCTTGGATGTGTTGCCTTTCCTTTCTTGGGCTCAAGTCCACTTGTCTCTCAAATGATGATGAAGCATCTCAGCTGGCCTTACCACAGGATTTTTGCTCCAACTGAACAAAGTGCTGCTTGTGGCTAGTGTTGAAGGGACTTTCTCATGTTGTCCCCTGTATAGTGCTAGGGGCTGCCTAGGGGAACCAAAAGCACACTCAGGGCAGGGCAGGCCAGCTCCGCCTCCCTAAACCACTCTGCAGGGACCCCCCCACTCCCCCCAAACCCCTGTCTTGCCCTGGTACCCAAAGAATTGAGGGCATGGAAGCCAACATTTTATTGGAGAAGCCAGAGTCTGGGGCTCAATAAATAAGTTTGATGAATTCCTTTAAGCCCCAGAATGTGCTGGGACAGGGCGGGGGTACCACTATTCACAGTGGGGTGGCCTGTGTCCCCTGACCAGGTGGGAATGAGGAAGGAAAGAATCAGCAGAGAAAGTCTAGAGTAGACTCTGGCCTACCATGAAGCCTGGGCTCAGCAACCCCAGATCCCACTTCACCACCCCACAGGACTGGAGAAAGAAATCGTAGCTCCCACTGGACCACGGAGGGAGGCAGGAAGCCTGCACTGGGGTGACCTCTCCTGAGCTGCTCATTTGGGTTTTCTCTCCACAGGGTCGTAGATATAGCAGCCCACATCACCGATGTTCACACCTGGGGAGAGAGCCCTATCACCTTGGGCCTTAGTATGGGGGAGGAGGGAAGGCTTGAAGGGGCTAGGGGGCTGGGGCTCAAGTGGCTACAGGGAAAGTTGCCCATACAACACACAGATCATGCACATGCCATACTCTAGCCCCAGTGTCTGGCATGGGGTTGCCCACCTTTGGGGCCAAACAGGTAACCATAGCAGGGGATGTGGCAGTAGGGGACACCGTCATGCTGAAACATGGAGAGATGAGAATTTCTTAGCCTGTCACCTTCCCAGCACCTGCATCCTCATCCCGGCCTGACACCACCCTTGCCCTGCTCACCTCTGCATGACTCCCAGCAGTCAGGGTCTTCCGGCAACGCTGGCACCTTAGACAGGGTCGATGCCAGTTTCTGCCCAAAGACATCACCTTCTCTGCTGGCGGTGGAGAGAGGCAGCAGTTCTTCTCTGCCTCTGCTGCCCATCCAGGGTCCCCTCCTCAAGCTCTCCTCTGTCACTTACCAAAGAAGACAGGCTGCCCACAGCCAGGGCACAGCGAGGTCTCTCCTGTGAATGTCCTCATGCTGGCCAGGCCTTTGGGGGTAAGAGGAAGTTCCAGCTAGGGCTGTGTTAGGGCCAAGACCTTGGCAAGGCCCACAACATCTACACGCTATGGCATTTTCTCTTCAAACACATGCTTGCTTGCCCCAGAGCCTCACTCAGGTGGGTACCACCCACCTTCCTTGAGGACCACACATGGCCTCAGCCCTTTCTGCGTCAGGGACCACCTTGCTTCCTCTTGGGGCCAACAGCCCCACCCTATCAGCAACTTAATCCTTTGGAAACTTGAGCTGATAAAGGAGCCAGCAGGGGCAGGGTGTCAGGTGTTGGGAGCACAGTGTCACTGCCCACTCTAGGACAGCAGAAGAGCAGAGACCAGTGGAGAGAAGTGAAGAACCCACTGCTGGTTGAGCCCATGACCCCTCACTTGTAGGTCTTTCCCCCATGCCATGGCCTCTGCTAGCTATGTGGCTATACTAGGTCACTTGCCTTCTCTGGACCACAGATACCTTGAACACAGAATGGGGACAAGCCATCTGCCCATCCTACCTGTTAAACTTGGAAGCTGGCATGAGGGGATATCAGAAAAGGGGCCTGGGAGAAGACTGCAGGGACGGGGACGGGGGGGGGGGGCCGCGGGAATGCGACTCAGAGAAGACAAAGGGTCCTGAGGAGGCACATGGAGGGCTGCTACTGGCCCCACTTACTTTTCTTGCCATAGGGGAAGCAAGTCCTTGGCCTGGGGGGACTGAAGCAGCTGGGGCTGAGGATGGTGGTGCTGGCAGGGGAGGTCGTGGGTGGAGTGTAGAGATAGGAACCCACACCTCCGATGTGCACCCCTGAAAGGAGAAAGTGGGCAGAAACCAGGCTGATAGATTGCGGCAGGGCAGGGCAGGGTGGGTCCTGCTGCTGACCCTCCTAGGCTGGTACTCACCTCTGGGTCCAAAGAGGGCCCCGTAGCATGGCTTGTGGCAGTAGGGCCTTCCCTTGTGCTGGGCACAGTAGAGGGAAGGGGGGTCACTTGGGCCAAGATGGGCTGGGGCAGGAGGGCTGGGCAATGGGTGTCCTGGCAGAATTGCCACTGTGATCAGGGAGGCAGAGCAGGCTGCCTGGTCAGGGCACACTGCAGAACCCAGCCTTGGTGGCGGGTGACCCCGAGTTGGGGTTTAGGGTAGGGTGCGACACGGGACTGGGCCCCGACCGGCTCACCTCTGCATGCCTTCCTGGGGACAGCACAGTATGGCAGTGCTCACATTTCAGGCAGAAGGGGTGCCAGTTCTTGCCCAGGGAGCTTACTTTCTCTGCTGCAGAGGATGAGGATGGTGGGCGTGGGACCACAAAGGGCCTGCTAAATGGGACGCCCCTTCACCTTTAGCCCAAGATGCTCACTCAGTTGTTCAGGATCCCGTTCGGTGCCTATGCAGGACCGGGAAGGGACCGGACTCCGTGGGGAGAGCGACGGCAGCCACCCGGCCCCACCTCGTGTCCCTTGGGAGCCCCCTCCACGCCCTTCCTCACCGAAGTACACAGGCTCCTGGCACCGCGGGCAGCTCCAGCTCATGGCTCTGCCTTCCCTGAGTCCCCACGCAGCGGACTGGTCCCGCCCCTCTGCAGCCCCGCCCCCAGCCTTCTGGTGTCAGCGACCCCAGAAATGAAGCCCTCTTCTCTGGGTGGTCGCAAAGTCCCGACCCACGGGGAGGAGCCCAGAGCTGCCGCTGAGTTGAGAGGGCGCTGCACCGTCCTCGTAGGAGGCCAAGAAACCGTAGGTAGCTCTCGTTTCGAAAAGCGTCCCTAGGCAGACACAGTGGAAACACTACTCTTACTCTCTGAGCCAAGGCATGGGCGTTCCTCGCAGGGGTTAATTCCACCTGGGGCCATCGGGGCATCTCAGCCGCTGTCTCTCACTCTCAGCAGTGCCCAGCTTCTCTGCCTCCTTCTCATACACACAGTGACTATCATGACAGCAGTGTCCACCTCACAAGAGGTCATGAGACCAGACACCTTCACACACATGCACCCAAGAGCACCAGAACAGGAAAACCAAATGAGCCTCAGCTGTCACCAAGATGTGTCTCTTCATGAGCTCGAGGCTCAAAACAGTCTGCATAGATCAATGACTTGTTCATAGCATTAACATGTTTACTTAGAAGCATGTACACTCAGACACTAATCATATATTTCTAGTTTAAGATTTTAAAATATTACATGTAATCCACCTGCCAGGCATGTAAAGCCTCTAATACCTGCTACTCAAAAGGCTGAGGCAGGAGGATCGCAAGTTTGAGGCCAGCCTGGGCAATTTATCAAGATCCTGTCTCCAAACAAAGCCTCTACCACTAAATAGCTTAGTGGTAGAGCACTCGCCTAGCTATAGTGGGTACTAGGGGACGGGGAGTGTGCCCAGTAGTATTACAAAGAACTTCAAGAAGCTTACCCACAACACAGGGAAAACATTTGAGAGCATGTATCTGCCAGGGTCTAGTAACCACAATGTGTAAATAACCAGCAATACCATAGGGATGGCAAGGACGTGGCCTACTGTATATCCCTCCTTTGTTGTTAGGTACCTACTTTGGAAAGCGGTCTGGCAGCTCCTTAAAAATGTTCACTGGAGGGACTATATAGCACCTCAGCAAGTCCACTGCCACGGGCATCCCTGAGAGAAACCAGCATGCGAATGTTCATGGGAGCACTATTCAGAGCAGCCAGAGGTAGAAATAACCCAAAGCCTATGCAGTGGTAAGCCGATGAACAAAACATGGCACGTCCATAGGGGCCGGGGAGATGGCTCAGTGGAATAAGTGCTTGCCTGGCAAGCGCAAGGGCCTGAGTTCAATCCCTGGTTCTGGAAAAAAAAAAAAAAAAAAAAAAAATCAAAGAAAAAAAAACCCCATGGCATCCATGGCATCCATCCAGATGACACATTAGCCATGTCAAGCACAGAAAAAATGTTCCAGTGTGGGTGAATCATAAAAACATTAAAAGCCATACATAAAACGTCACATACTGTATGAGAGCACTTGTATGTCACCTTACTGCAGGAGGGTATCCAGGCCTAATCCATGAAAGTTATGCTTCCCTGTCTGGGTGCTGAACCAAATGAGAAAATCAAGGCTGACAGACTCATGGCACTTTGTCGTTGATTAAGGATGGGATGGGATGGGATGCAGTGAGAGGGTCCAGTCTAGTCTGTGCCCAGAGCTGCCTTGCCGAACGCCATATTTCCAGTGCCTTGCTCAGCTTCTGGCACATAGCACTCAACAAATGAATGTTCAATATTATACTGAAGTCCTTGGAGTGAGTGCTAGTGGGAAAGATGTGGGAGTGAGAGGGGGTGGCAGAGTTGGAGAGTTGACAACAACCTGGGAGTGAAGCTCAGCTGGCTAGGTGGAAGGTTTGAGTTTGTTTTCTTACATCCATGATCAATATATATGATGTGAAATAGACTATGATTTCAAATGATATCCTGATTATAAATACAAGGCACAAAACTTTCAAAAACTGAAATTTGCTTTGGCAGTAAATCAGTACCACTATTTACAGTCATTCATAGGAACTTACCAATTAAATGTAATTAGCATGTAACAATTTATGTCTATCATTAAGTACATGGCAAATGAATATGGGAAAGTATTATGGCAACTTGAAAGCATCTTTTATATATAGCTGCTATTATGTGTCAGGTTTACTACTGCAAATCCCACCTACTTTATGTCTTTTAGACTTGCTCAAATGCAAGGTTATATGCTTGTGACTTTGCTGGTTTGTGTTTTTGTGGTACTGGGAATTGACTCCAGGGCCTCATGCATGCTAGTCCATGTTCAGAACTTTGTTCCTAGATACTTCTGAAAGGAAAAATCAGTAAGTTCTGGTAAGTTAATGAAAAGTCAGTCTTTTTTTATAGTTTGGGTTTATAACATCTTTATTACCTTTAAACCTTGTGCTTCCTCACTGTATTTTTTCCTCAACTAGAAAGCTTTACTTTCTTTTTTTTTTTTTAATTATTTATTTATTACATTTTTATTTAGTGTGTGTATGCGTGTGGCCAGCTCAGCCCACCAGGGGGCGGGGCTGGCTGGCATGTGGTGCTGGGGGATCGAACCACGGTCCCTGTGCTTTGCCAAGCCTGTTCCAAGTAGGTGCTTTAGACCACTGAGCCATCTCTCCAGCCCCTAGAAAGCTTTACTTTCTGTAGTTTATATTATTTAACAATGAACAAACAGGGCTGGCCATATAGCTCAGCACCACAGCTCTTCCTTAGTATATGCATGGCTCTGAGTTCAAACCCTAGAACCAAAACAACATACTGAGCCACGTGTTGTGGTGCACATCTGTAATCCCACCATTTGGGAGACTGAGGCAGGAGACTGCTGTGAGTTCCAGGCCAGCCTGGACCACATTAAATTTGAGGCCAGTCTGGACTATATAGCGAGACCCTGTCTCAAAAACCAACCAACAACAACAACAACAAAGAAAAAACCAAAAAAAGCAGCCAACAAACAAAAACCAAACCACATACACAAAACAAAGCAAAACAAAAACCCCCACATACAGCCAAAATAGAAAAGACTGGATTTGCTTTCTGAAAAATGCAGGCCTCTCCCTACCTGTAGAGAACTGCTGTTCTATTACCTATGGCTCTGAGAGACTGTTTGGTTTCCTGACTCCCAGCATCATCTTGCCATCCCGTGCATTTTTTTTTTTAATAAAAGCAACTCTACATTTATTGGCCTTCAGTAAAAACATAAGAGTAGTCAAAACAATATGAACAAATGTTTTACAAACACTTCCAGGGCAAACCACTTAAATAATTGCCTTTTTACATATCATCATAATTGCCACTGCCTCACTTCCCTGTTTGAATTCATTGATCATTTCTAGTTGGAGACACTTTGTAGCAGAGTAATGTTATCTCCTTTGAGCATGATCCGACCCAGCTGTTTTCTTGACTTTGTTTTAGAATGAATTTCTTCTGCATCATCTAATACAAGGTTCATGTACTCGTCAAAACCAGTAATACAGCCCTCTATCCGCATATTCACTTGCTCATACAGCCACACCTGGATCTGGGATCTATTCTGCAAGTATCTGAAGATGAGGCTGATGGGCTGCACCATCACCTTCTGGACTTTCTGGCCCTGACCCCAGTACGCCATGGCGGAGCCCGACAAAGACAACGCCAGCCACCACGCTACCTCTAGCGGCAACTTCCGGAGGGCCATCCCGTGTGTCTTAGTTACTCTTTTCTCGCTGCTGGGACAAATACCCGACACTCAAAATGAAGGAAGGAAAGGTTTATTTAGCTCACAGTTACTGGAGGTTTCAGTCCATACTCAGCTGGGTCCAAGGCAGAGCAGCACACAGCAGAAAGCAACCTTTCATGGCGGTGGCAAAGAGCAAGAGTGCAAGGGAGAATAGCAGCAGCTCAAGCAGCTGGCTTCTCTTCCCACCTTATATTGTAATGCAAATTACCTGCCCTAGGGTAGGGGAAGCACTCACACCTATGGGTACTTCCCAGTACTTACCCACCTATGGATAATCCCAGCAGTATTAAGACCCATAATCCCAGCCTTGGATCACACATAATCCCAGTGGATCATGAGTTAACACAAATTCTAGAAGTCCTCACCCCATGACTGCATGAGGCTTTGGGGAGACAACTAGACACAAACCATAACACCATGCATTTCTGAGAGAACCCACTCTCGTGCTACTCAGGGCTATGTGTTTATGTATTGTGATGCAACGACATCAACTGGATTAATTCAGAATCCCAGTTTCAGGAAGGCCTTTCTAGCCCTTTGCCATGGCTGCATTCACCCTATGCTTGTGAAGAAACCAGTAATAGCTTTAAATGACACTTTTCCAAGCAAGGTTGCATTTGGATTTTCAAGTACCACTTGGAAATGTACATTTCACCAGAGAGTATATAAAAATAACTACCTCCAAGCAATTTGCAAAATGAAAAAAGAAAAAAGAGGAGTGAAACTTGCCTATGCTTTCTGTAGTTTATATTATTTAACAATGAACAAACAGGGCAGATGGCAGATGGCAGATGTTGGGAATGCTTCTTGGGAGTTGTTGTAAGTACTAGAAACTTCCTTATCTTCATATCGAAATCTGGGTAGGAATTTTTATACTATATAAAAATCATCCTTCCAGTTTCTAAAGCTATGTTAATGCAGTTAAAATAGGTTAATCTTATGAATCTAGACATGTACAAATGTTTACTTTTCTATGGAGGAGGCTTTCATTTCCTGTATGAAGCTCAAGGTCACAAAATCAAGAATCAAGTAGTCAAGAGTCAAAGAAGCTAGCCTCTTTCTAAAAGCTGGATGATTAGACTATTTCTCCTTTTCTCTCTTAATTTTTTTTTCTTTTTCTTTTAGGCTAGGCTAGCATTCTGCTAAGAGCTATATCCCAGCCCACCCCCTAAGTTTTTGGAACAGGAAGGGCATAAAATTCTTATCAGTTATCACAATTCTCCTACCAGGACCATCACCCTCTCCAAAAACAGTGTCTTAGGGGAGAACCTGAACATTTGCCTCTTGATAAAAAGCTATAGAATTAAAATCTACACATTAAGAAGCCACTGAATCTTTGCAGCTTTACAGGGGACACTTAGAAACATTTCATTTGGAAAACCTTATGTCCTCCCAATCCAGGTTAATTCCACTCAGTCCAGTGGGCTAGACCTTTCCTTGGAGAGCTTGCAAGCTGGGCCTGGTCTAAGGGTTCTTTCTATCTGGCTGACCACAATAACTGTTCAAGGATAGAAATATGGCTCCTTTAGATGAAGCAGCATCCTCCCTGTGACTTTCTGGTATTATAAGGAAAGACACACTCTGATACTATAGATAAAATCTTTTAAGGGTGATGGGAACTTGAGGCTGCAGAGAGTATCTTGCTCCTGAGTGGAGAGACTTCCCAGTCAAGTGGAGTAGAGATGAAAGAAATTTTAAAATGGTCAAGTCATTTCTTATCAGTACTTTAAATATAAATCAACCCACCAACTTCTATGGTCTGAATGTGTATCCCACCCCTCAAATTCATACAATGAGTCATAATCTACAGTGCAACAGCAGTAAGAGGAGGTAATAGGTCCTGAAGATTGGGCCCTCCTGAATGAGATTAGTGCCTTTACAGGAGGCCCAAGGGAACTTGCTTGCCCCTTTTTTCCATGTGAGTAGTTACTGTGAATAGGACTCATTTCTGAGAAAAAAAAAAAAGTCCTTACCAGACATCAAATCTTCCTGTGCTTTGGCCTTCCTAGCCTTCAGAACTGTAATAAATTGTTTATAAATTACTGTCTAATGTATTTTGTTATAGAAGCAAAATGGATTAAGACGCTAATGAAAGAAGGTGATAGAATGGATTAGAAAAAACATGATCTAACTATATGCTGTCTACCTACCTATTTTTAGTTTTCCTTAGAATCAAACACAAGTGCTTTATCACTGAAATTTGCATCCCCAGACTTACCTCTTTCTTTTCTTTTTCTTTAAATTTTTCTAAGTTGCCCAGGCTGGCCTCCAAGATGTGATCCTCCTGCTTCAGCATCCCAAGTAGCTGGCATTATAGGCATGCATCACTGAACCTAGCTTATTTTTTAGTGGTGCCCTGAACATACTAAGCAGGTTAAATGTAAAAGGATGAAAAAGATGTTCCATGGAAATAGTGAACAAAAGGTAGGTGAGGTTGCTAAACCAACCATCAGAAAATAGGCATGAAATACAAAATTATAATGCAACTAAAAGTCACTAGAGATTAATTAAAAAGCCAATCCATCAAGAAGAAATAGCAACTATGAACACACATGCACCATACAACAGGAGGGGGGGAGAGGGAGAGGGAGAGGGAGAGGGAGAGGGAGAGGGAGAGAGAGAGAGAGAGAGAGACACTTGATAACCAAAAGTTGATTCTTTGAAAAGATCAACAAAATTAACAAACTTTTATCTAGACTAATGATAAAAAGAGAGAATATGCTAAAATAAAAAGTGAAAATGAGGACACTGGTACTAATCTTCCAGAAATAAAAAGGATTATAAGAATACCATGTACTACATATGCCAAAAAATTTGAAACTCTAAATGGGGTGCACAAATTCCTAGAAGCAGAAAAACTATTAAAACATGCCAGGTGTGGTGGCACAATCCTGTAATTCCCCATTCAGGAGGATGAGGCAGTAGGATTGCTGTGACTTCAAGTCCATCTTGAACTTCATAGTAAGGCCCTGTGTCAAAATTTAAGAAAAATCCAACAAGAAAAGTTGACTTCACTGCTGATAGAGCTCTTGTCTAGTATGTATGAGGTATCACAGGAAAAATAAAATATAGAATAAACATTTATCTAGCAAAAATATCATTTTTAGGTATATATCCTGAAAAGATATTCAAGTACGTATATAGTACTATTCACAATAGCCAAAAGATGGGTCAAATGCCTACTAATGAAGGGAGATCTATCGTCTGTGTATCTACTACGTACCTACCATTCATCTATCTTATTCAGCCATAAAAAGGAAACACTTCTGTCTGCTACATCCTGAACTTAAAAGATATGTTAAGCAAAAAATACTGACACAAAAGGTCACATATTGTATAACTCCACTTATAGGAAATATCTAGGACAGATAAACCTGTGAAGATAGCAGATTAGTTACTGCCAGGGGTTGAAATGGGAATGATCACCGACTATTGGAGGGATACAGGGGTTTTTGCTTTATTTGAAACAGGGTCTCACTATGTACTTCAGGCTGACCTTGAACTCATAGTGATCTTGCTGCCTCAGCCTCAGAGTGCTGGAATTATAGGGGTGCCCCCACAATGCCTGGTGGAATACAAGGCTTTAATTTGGCATGATGAAAATATCACATATTTTATGTGTATTTCACCTCAAGTTTTTTGAGAAGCACCTGAGAGAGCAGTCGCAACAATGCTCTCACTTTGGGAAAGACTAGAAGACAATATGAGAGGAATTCAAATAGTGTTGGTCATTTTCTTTTGATTAAATGTTGATTATCAAGGTATGTTCACTTCATAAAAATTGAGCTTAACAATTGTGACATATGCTTTTAAAAAAAGAACATTATATTCTCATATAAATATTTACTTTTCAAATAAATTTACAGTTTACATCCAAGAAAACTAAAAATAGGTGTCCACTCAAGAATATAAACATTATTATTAACAGCATTACTCATAATTACCCCAAAGTGGAAATAATCAAAATGTCCACCAACTAATGGATAAACAAAACATGTATCAGTGATCATGATACCATATGGATCTATCTATGGAATGTTGAGAAGATTATGCTAAATGAATGAAACCAGATACAAAAGAGTAACCAGTAACAAAAGTTACCACACCTTGTGACTCATGATCAGAAAAGATAAGGCCATAGAAATGGAAAGCAGACTGGTGACTGCCCACTTTAGATATAGTTAAGTGATAGAGCACCACTTGGCTTGATTGTCTCTCTCTCTCTCTTTTTTTTTTTTTTTGGTGGAACCAGGGATTGAACTCAGGCCCTTGTGCTTGCCAGGGAAGTACTTATTCCACTGAGCCATCTCCCTGGCTGCCCACCTTAAAGGCAGCTTGAGAGCAGTAGTATCTGGGAGTTTTTGCTGATCAGTTTTGAGGGGAGAGATGAAAATATTCTAGAATTAGTGGCAGTGGTAGTTGTACGAGTTGAAGGTAGTAAGAAACAAAGAATTAGGGCCGACCAGATAGCTCAGCAGATTAAAGTGCCCGCTTAGGCAGATGCAGGGACTGGAATTGGATCCCCAGTGTGCCCATGCTGGCCCCACCCTTGGGGTGTGCTGAGACAGAGATTGAGAGAGGGTGTAGAGGTGTGCCTGTAATCCCAGCTCTAGAGAGGCTGAAAACAGGAGAATCACTGAGTCTGATCTGTGTAGTGAGACCCTGTAGACCCTGTACTAAATACAACAACAAAAACAAAAACAAAACCCAAAGAATTGTATGATTTTTAGATAGTGAATTTTATTTTACATAAAATTAACTGTTTTATGAATTATATTTCAATAAAAAGTAGATTGCAAATATTTCATCACTTATAACATGAACTACATAACATCAAACATTACTCAAAAATATTCCTTGCCATTGCCCACTTCCCTGAGTCAACAGAACTCAGCGTTAGACTTTAGGCATCAGTGTAGAACTAAGGT